GACCTGCAGCTTCTCAACGGGTGGGGGGTGGGGGGGAAGGAGCAGGAGGAGGAAGGAGGAAGAGGGAAAAGGAGGAGGAGGGAAAGAGCAGCATCAAGAGGAGGGGGAGAGGGAAGACGAGGGAGGGGGGAAGGTAGAGGAGGTGATATCGATGACAACGACAATGGATATGGTTTCAACAAGAGCGCCGCAGCTTTTACCGGCCGTTTGAAAGACTTGAGAGCGTTGATATCCTGTAAACAGCATTCAATCATCCTCACCCTCTCCTCTCGTCTTCTCTTCACCTCTGCGATCACCGGGGCTCCCCGTTGGTCCCTCGGCTGAACTTGCGATCAACCCACATCCCTTCCACTCCTCCTCCTCCTCCACCACCACCACCACCACCACCACCACCACCTCCTCCTCCTCCTCCTCCTCCTTCATCACTCCCACCACCACTTCTCCTGTTCCTTCTCACCATGTGCCAGAAAATTGCAGGCGGATATTTCTCTGTGAGGTGCTGCAAAGGTGAGATTACACAGGATAAGTTGCACGCTATTCCACAAAAGAAATTCTTATGAAGATCATATGGTTGTACAAACGCAGACACTGTGTAAACATATTCGTGTACAGGCATACCAACATCGTGTACCAATGACATCCAAAAACATCACTAGCAGTTTCATCTTGTACAAAAATTATGAAATTGCCAACCTCTGGTGGGACCGGCATGATCTGAACAGCAATTGCTGCCTGCAGAAAGTTTGAGAAATAGCGTTTCCCACATCCGTAGAACTTCTGCAACTTCACTCTACTCTCCACGTGCTCCTCCGCTCCATCGCTCGCTTCTACATCCTTCCCCTCTCAACTTGCTCCTCCTCAGACTTACTGGGGGTTCAGACGAGATGCCCAGCGCATGCACGATGGCTCCTCCCGAGGAAGCGCCGAGAGCGACAAGCTGCAGGCGAATCAGGGGAGAGGATGGAGTGGGAGGAGAGGACAGGAATCTTCTCGAGATTGTTGGTCTTTCTGAATGATTCCACTGCCTTCTTGATACGAGCTAAGGGGAAAGTGAGGATATGAAACACTGAGAGGGAGGGAGAGGAGGAGAGGAAAGGAGGGAGGGAAAGGGAGGGTGCGAGGGAGAGGGAGGGAGGAATGGAGGGAAGGGGAGATAGGGAAGGAAGGAGGGAGGGAGAGGGATGGAGAGGGAGTACGAAAGGACATTATCCAGAAAACGTCTGCGCAAGAATTCGGCAGGAATGAAGCAGGGGGGAGGGAAGGAGCAAGGTGAGCTGGAGGAGAGGACGCGCGGGAAGGTTGAAGAAGAGAACAGGGGGAAGAGGCCTTCGGGACAACATGACAGGAAGAGCCGATGCTCACCGACATCGTCTTGTGGGTTCCAACACTTGCTGCCTCGGTCTTGACTCGTGACTGCTCTCCTACATTAGAGGAAACAAGAGGAGGACGTCGTGAAGCGAGTGAACATGAAAGAGGAAGGGGAGGGAGGAGAGAGAAGGCAGAGGAGAGACGTACAAGCAGCGACGGAGACGGGGAGGTAGCAGAGAGCGAGAGCGAGAAAAGTAGGGGAGGAGGAAAAGGAGACGGAGTGGAGAGGGGGAGGGAGAAGGAGGGTATATGTAAAACACTCAGCAACCTGCAACGACTGAGAGTCCCTTATCGAGAGCCGTTGAGACTATCTTCCTTTCTATTGGCAACCCAATACATTCCTGTGTTTGACAATGATATCCCTTCCTTGCTCCCTCCCCTTCCTCGCTCCCCTGGCTCTCTGGCTCCCTTCCCTCGCTTTCCTTCTTTCCCTCCCCCTCTCCTCCCTCCTCCCTCCTTTCTCCCAGGCACGAGGATTCAAGGAGGGCGGTCACAACACCTTACAGTCGTCGCTCTTGTCGAAGAAGTCAGTAGCAGAATGAGAGCAGCCTGCGCTGCTGTCAGTCCCTGACCCTCCTCGCAACATCTCGATGTTGCCACCGTGAGCAAGGAACAGGATGGCACGAGATGTCTTTCCCCGAGCTTTCTCGACTGTCTGATAAACCTGTACGTTTGCAAACAAGTCGTTCAGCTCAAGGAGTTAACATCACTTCGCAGCTCAAACACCATTTCGATCCCCGAATCGGATAGGGTTGTCTTGATTCCTCGGACAGACTGAACCGCCTCTCTACTCTCGCTCTTCTTGCTTTCTTGCAACCTTCAAAAAGATAGAGTGAACGGATCTCACAACCACAAATCTGCTTCAACGTTGTTTTCTCTTCAGCACTGTGAGAAGCTCTTGTGGCTTCAACTCCTGCATGAGATCGATTTTTGTTCCCACCTGTGACATTTTACATCTCACCACTCACAGAAACAGGACGAGTTTGTGTCACACTTTCTCTCAAATCTACTTCAAGCCCCTGCTGCTTTGTTGTCGAGCTTGATCCAGTCGCTGCGAACTATTCACAATCGGGGACGTCAAAACGAGTGTCTCAAACCAAATGTTGTGACAAAAAAGACGACAACAAGAGCAGTCGCAACTATGATACACGTCTTGGTCGTGTGATCATTCATGGTCTGTCGGCATGTCAGATCGGACATCATCTTCAACCTATTCCGCACCGGATGTCTCGGTTTCTTTGGACGCATCCTGCAATCACCGTCAACACCCTCGAATATCCCACAAGGACACGTCATGCTCAAGTAAAGATGAAACTTGGTGGTCCTATCACAGTGTTTCGATGATCTGAGACCTAAGGTTGTCGTTGGATAAGAATCATCGGAGATAGACAGCTCTTTCCCGTGCACAACATCAGTCTATCCTCTGCATCTGCATCTGCTTATCCTTCTGATCATCATCTCCTTCGGTTTCATCGTCCTGCAACCTTCACCGTTCTCCTGTCCTCCTCTTGTACATCTTCATCGCCTTCCTTCCCTGGCACATCCTAGTCATCCCGTTCCTGCTGGGGTGCAAGGCCATACATAGGGGTACTTTATAGGTGAATAAGAAGGGTGGGTGTGTACAAGTGAAGGGGTGATATTTGACTACAAAAGGGGGGTAGACATGGTTTGTTGCCCATAGGGCTCCGAGTAGGAAGGGGTCGTGATGAAAAGTGGGGTGTTCTGCCTAAGAAATGGGGGTATGTTTAACAAGGGGTGGGTCTCAACACATCCCCACTTAGGAGGGGGTAGGGTATATTCTATGTTTGGGTGGGTACTTCATTGGAAACATCGAGGGCGTAGATGAGAGGGGTACTCCGCAGTGGGTGGGGTTGAGGATTGGGTGGGGTGCTCCCAGATCGCCCTTTGTTTGTTTCCCGATGTTGGATTCAAACTTTACTTTTTAATAACAAATATCAGTAAAATTTCAATTATATTATATTATATTCAAATTTGAAAGTTCATAATCGAACAAAATAACCAACTATTTCGACAACTACAGATTGAGGACGTATGTCCAACCCGGTTCCGAAAACGACTAAAGTTTTGCAAGGAGACCGGAGGATGGCTGGGAGATCGTTGTTGAGATTCCTCCCACCAGTATGAAGTTGAGCAGGAGCAGGAGCAGGAGCAGGAGCAGGAGCAGGAGCAGGAGCAGGAGCAGGAGCAGGAGCAGGAGCAGGAGCAGGAGCAGGAGCAGGAGCAGGAGCAGGAGCAGGAGCAGGAGCAGGAGCAGGAGCAGGAGCAGGAGCAGGAGCAGGAGCAGGAGCAGGGTCAACAGGAGAGGAACAGAAAAGAAGAAAGGGAGTAGGAGCATGAAGATGATTGCACTAATGGTCCAGAGGCATTGCTCGTTGTGACCATCACCACTCTGTATACTGCATTACACCAACCATGACTTGCTCAAGTATTGTACTCAGCATCCCTGGATAGAAGCTGCTTCGATCACCTGGTTCTCGCTTCTTAGCTTCCATACTACTTGCTGTTCACACCACCTTTCATGTCCTGAATACTAACTACAATTGTACATGCACTTGCTAGTATCATTTGTTCAGAACACCACCTGTTTTCTTTTTAGCAAACCGCGATTCACTTTCCGTTGATTTCGGAACATGCATAAGACACTGACTTGAATTGTTTGGAAAGAATCGGATCAATCAAATGAGGCCGCTTCCTTTGAACAGAATGTCCCTTCTTGCCCTTGCGCTCGTGCTCTTTCAAGGTCGTTGGAACCTTTGTTCTATCATTTGTTTGCTAACATAATGAGATATAGGGGCCCACGGTAAAGAAAACAGCGTACCTGTGCAGAAAGGCCCGAACGGGTACGGAAATAGAGTGTGAAGAGTTTTTACACAGCTCTGATGTTCGTTTACAGAAAACCTCTGCCGTCTTGCTCCGAGGCGACGAATTGCTTCGATTGTTTTGTACAGCAGGTGATTCTCAGTTCTGGCTGCCCTTGTCCGTGTTGGCATGCGTATTTTGTTTGGCCCATTGCAAATTCTGCAGGACGAGAGAGCTTGCTTAACTTGCCTGACAAGTCAACATTTTGACATGGAACGTGATAGGAATGTTATCCTAACCCTCTTGGTGGTGATCCGATCTGTTCTCCTTGTGGCTGGTGTTCACACAGTAAGGAGACATTCATATTTCATGCTCGTGCTCAACTTTGCTGCAGACCACAGCGCAAGCTGGACTGCAGATGTCAAGGGGACTTGTGTGATAGCCCCCGTCGGAATGTTCGATTTTTGTCAGGTATCTTGCCTTACGAATCTCCTCCTCCTCACTCCGATCTCAGCTAGTGGATCCTGGAGCGGATAGATACTGCCCGGAGTCTGTCTGTAAGGTCGGCGACTTTGGCTGCGCCTGCAAGGACAATGTCTGTCCAGGTTGAGGACTGAACGGCACTTGTTGTTTGTGACTGGTGACCCGGGTTCACAGCGATTGAGAAGCTGATCGGTCTCTTCACCTTGGAAGGGATCTGGCTTATTCTCCTCACAACTCTTGCCATTGGCGTATGCGTTACAACGCTCTGTATCTGGTCGATCTGTTGTTCGAGGCAGCGCCGTGTCATCATCGTCAACTACTATGACCCTGAGGTATGTCTGATCCGATTCACCTCCTCTTACCTTGTCGGACGGTCACTTTGTGCGTGTATAAACAGAACGGTAGAGCTGCACTCCATGACGTCGTCAACGGCCCTGCACAGGGCGGCCTGCAAGTTAACGGCGCGACAACGGCATACACTCGCTTCCAGTAACTTAAGTATGATTAGTACCGCTTTCTGCCTGTCCCGTGAGTCAGGCGGTTTACTGCGGCCTACAGTGGCACGGTGGCAGCCTGTGCTATACTAGTAATTCCGAACGGTCCAGGCCGCCGCGGCCTGCTTGTTGCCAGCCTGTCACAGTGCCGCGATCATCCGGGCCCGGGGGCGGCAAGCATGGGCCGGGCAGCCTCCGTGACAAGTTGTGTGGGGCGGCTCAGTTAATCATCGGTTTAAAATGAGGCTCTCATAAACTTCATATCTCAAGCAGTTCAGTCAAGAAAACTCACTGAGAGTCTGTGGCAGTGGCATTCGAGTCTGTTCCCGCATAACTTGTACCGTACGGTACTGGTTGTACCAACTTGAACCTGACGGTAGTACGGTACGGTACTGTACGGTATGGTACGGTACGGCAGAAAGTACTACCAGTTCAGTGACCGTCTGCTATCCGTATTTGTAGGCCGATGTCAAATTTGAGTTTTAGAGTTACTCTTTAAAACCAGTTCTTCAAATGTCTGTTGATATTTCAAAATGTTTACTGCTGAAATCAATATATATAAAACTTTAGATTATAAGTCCTTTATTTCTTTGTATGAAAATTGAAAAACATTTTAAACAAGTGTACCATGGCTTGTCATTGATACGACCCCCCTACCCCCACCCACACGATGCCGTAACCGTCCCGTCGATTCCTCAAAACGCTGGGTAGGTCCTCTATATATTGGTGCGGGTAAGGAGGGGTGGTGATGTCCATTGAGGGGTGGATTCTGCATTATGAAATGGAGGGTCCTTTTCAGGCTCTTGACCTCTTTCGAGCAGGGTGGGTAGTCACTTCGTGGTGTTGATTGTCGGAGGTGGGGTGGCGGGGCCATGGGAGGTATGAGGGCGATGAGCATCCAGTTGATATTTGTGGGGTCGGGTAGTAGATTTGGGGGTGGGGTGGTATTTTCATGGTAGGTTTTCAATTAGATGTGCAGGGTGGGTCCCGGGACTGTCCGAAGTGGAGGGGGTACAGGGTGGCTGGATGGGAAAATGGGGCGGCAGGTGGGTGTTCACGCTCTGAATGGTGGGTACTTTTGAGGTCATACGGAGGGGTCAAAGCGAGGACAGGGGGTTGGACAGCACGGGTATTGGGAGTTTTGTGGGTACCACTGAGATTGGGAGGTAGAAAGAGGGGTGGGGGTGGGAATGGAGGGGTGGTGGGTTTCAAATATTTAGGAGCGACAATGCCGGGACGGAGAGCAAGGATGTATGTGGGAGGCGAGGAGGAAGGAAAAGGACGGAAGATGCAGATGTTATGGAGAAAAGAGTCGAGCTGGAGGAATGAGCGCAGGAAGAGGATAGGGATGAGGCACAAGACGCCAGGCCACAAAGGGCATGAAGACGAACAAGTCATGCGCAGTAGCATGTAGGATGGGAGATGAGAACAAGGATAGATGTTTATTTTGAGTAAGGAAATAGTTGCAGATGATCGAGTCCTTGGGGGGCTGGAATGATTTGAGGGTTAAATAGACAGCTAAGTTCTAGTCGTATTTCTCTTTGCAACACATCCTCCCCCCACACCCCCAGGTCATGGTCGTGAAGGAACACGAATGGGAGACAGAGGAAAATATTACAGTGTGTGGGGGCTCATGCACTCTCAATTTATCAAGCCGATAATATGCAGTCTCTCGAGCGACAAGTGTGAGAGAAAGGGTTGTTCCGGGTGTAGAGAAAGATATTCCTTGTTTGCTGATGACAGCCGTTAATCTTTCGCTTCAGATCTCTTGTTTCAGATCACTTTGCTGCCTCGAGCGCGTTTTGCTCGATCATGAAGGTCACACGAAAGTGTGGAGATCTCCAGTGTGTCTGTGCTTGTCAGAACATAGCAGTACATTCACAGGAACCTCAACTCCCTCAAGGGTAAAGAAGGAGAAGCTTGTTTCAGACTGCATTGTGATTGATTTTGAACAGGTTTCACCTCCTCGTCAAGATTGTATCGCATACTCCATACAAGTTCGCGTACTCTTGGACTGCCCCTGGCTCCTCACATCCCTTTGATGAGTTTGACTTGGAATCATGTCTGCAGAAGGCATCGATGACGGGAATGGCGAAGGATGTGTTGTCAGATGTCTTGCAAAATCACAAGATGAATGTGAAGACAATGATGACAGAGTGGGCGAGGAAGAAAGAGACGGAGAGCAGGCAGAGTAATGGACACAGCGACTACCATGAGCAGATGAGCAAAAATGCTTCTCTGAGCTCCTCGTTCCCCAGCATGTCCAACAGAGATCACCCTCAAAACCACCACGGCATCGAGCTTGAAAGTCCTCCCGCAATCGCACCGCAGGAAGACCTGTGCGGCATACAAGGCTGCGTCTGCGAGACTGAGGGACTTCACATCCATCAGCAAGAGCCGAAGCTACCACAAGGGTGAGGCGCTAACTGCTTGTCGAGCTTGAATGCCCTCGTTGACTCGAGTGATGGTGCAGATTCTACCTATCAGTGAAGAAAGAAAAGTCAAAGCTGGAGATGAGGTGGAAGCTGCCTGGGTCAAGTGATTTGTTGAAGGAGAATGCGATAGAGCGGGAGCTGCGGTCGACATCACCTGCCAGCGCGATGAGTGTGGACGAGTTTGAGAGATTTGTCGACCTGTTTGTGCAGCACAAGATCAACGTAAAGGCTTACGCGGCGAAGGAGTGGAGCCGGAGGAAGAAACTCGATTCTTTAGCTCAGACGAATAGGCACGAGGAATGGGATGTGATGATGGACCCTAAGACAGGTCAGGATGCCCGCGGGGTGCCGGAAGAGAACGTTGCTCTACTTGTCAAACCAAACTTTGGAGATGTCAACAACGAGCGGACTCTGATCTTCGACTCCGGAGACTTTTGTCCCGCATGTGGCAAAGACTTCTCTCACATCGCGTAAGTACTCGTTGCTTGTTGCTCATTGCGCGCGTTCGTCCACCTGACTCGTATGATGAAGTAGAATCGCCACTCGACGCAACTCGATGCTCAAGCACCTCTACCACTTCAAGAGGACAGGCTACTGTAAGTTCTCGCGCTACAACTTCAACGCCATGGGCCCAGCAGCGGTCAACGACCATGCAGACGTCGCTGAGAGCTCCGACCTCCTGCTCAACTCGTCGCAACAGCTGCTGTCCGGTATGGACTTTGAAAGCCATCCGCTCAACGACAGCGCCGCTACCATGATGAACGACCGATCGCACGAGTGCTACATGTCAAACTCGGACGACGACGACGACGACGACGACGACGACGACGACGACGATGATGATGACGACGACGACGACGGCGAGGGCGAGGGCGAGGGCGAGGGCGAGGGCGAGGGCGGGGGCGGGGGCGGGGGCGAGGGCGAGAGGTCGCCTCCGCGCCGGAAAAGAGGGCGTCCAAGGCTCCCCTCCTCCAAGTGCAGCCGATGTGGCAAGTGGCGGAGGCTTCGTTCTCGTTTCGGGACTGATCATGATCGACCCTTCTTCTGCGCCATGCTGTCAAACACCAACTGCTCCATGGATGAAGTGCCGGCCCACCGCCCGCGCGACTTGTTAGAGGGCGAGAAAGACAGGGAGAGGGGCAGGGCAGCGCACAAGCGACCCCGCTCGTTCCCCGACACGGACAGAGATGAAACAGACTCGGGCGGGAGGGCAGAAAGTCTGACGAGCAAGAAGGAGAAGTTGGAAGTCTGCACGTGGCAGAAGAACTTCGAGATGCTCAAGGACTTCAAGCAGAAGCACGGGCACCTGTTCGTCTCCCAGAGCTCCAAGTCTCGCTTCTTCCACCCTCAGCTGGGACGATGGGCCAGCTGGCAGAGGACGCTGCTCAACAAGGGAGAGCTGCAGGCAGAGAGGAAGCGATGGCTGGACGAGATCGGCTTCTGCTGGAATGGCAGGGAGGTGGTCAAGATCATCGGCCGCTCCACCAAGAAGAGAAAGCACAGGGACAAGCACAGGGACAGCCACTGAGTCGTGTTACTTCCTTCCCCTTCCCCTTCCCCCCTCCCCTTTACCTCTTTCCCCTCCTTTCTCCCCTCCTCCCCACTTGCCTCCCTCCTCTCGCACTCCATCCTCTCTTGCGTGCTGGACACATCCCAAACACCGAACTTCTGTCATTATGTAGATTCTCTAAAGTACATGTTAATGTCAGCTCAGCACCATCCCCACCACCTTCTCCACCACCCGCAACCTTGTCCGCCCTGCGCCTGAGTCGTTGCAAGCCCTGCGAGCTCACACGCTCCTCCTGCCTGCCTCTCCCATAAACTGGTGTCGGACCACAGCACGTCACCTCCCTTGGCCGAGACCGTTGAGTCCGTCCCAGCTGCAAGGAAGCAGCTGCTGCATCCTCCGTACCGCACACTCCCACAGCGCCGCGCCTCCTGCGCTCCGGCACGCAGCATGGCCGCCTTGTCCGCAAGGAACGAGCTCCTCGAGACGAGCGATGCGTTGCGACAGGAGGAGGCTGAGGCTGCCGAGGCGTCGGCGTGTACGAGGAAGAGGTTGGACCCCGGGACCACAGCGAGGACGAACTTGACCTGAGACAGGCAGGTCGCGCCATCCACTCCCTCAGCCTCCACCTCAACCCAGCTGCTCTTTAGCACCAGCACCACCGCGCGGGAGACTACAGGAGACCCACCTTGCTGGAGGACAGCTGGGGTCTGCAGGAGGCCGAGGGAGTCGAGGGCCCTGAGGAGAGCGGGCTCGACTTCCCCAAGGAAGAGGCCGGAGGAGAAGGCGGCGATGCTCGGCTTGCCCGGGCTGGCAGCCACCACAGACAGCTGAGAGTCGAGGAGGAGGCACCAGGAGGCCCCCTGCTTGTATGCGCACTCGCTCCAGCTCCCCAGCGTTGCCTGAGTGAAGGAGACGAAGAGGAGCTGTGCCCCCGCCACCCCGGCGATCTGCCTGCTCCTGCACACCCCCGACGCAGCCTCGCCCGGCCTGACCTCCAGCAGGGCTGTTGAGATGCTGACGATGGTGGAGCCGTCCACTGTGTCTGTTTGCGGGCCCGAGACGATCACAGTAGAGTCACAAGCCCCTTCCACCCCCCGCACGTACCAGACCTCCTGGGTGACAGCTGGGGGTGCCGGAAAGAACCTCCCGGGGTACGTCCGAACCACTCCGCTGGCCATGCCGACCTGGAGGAAGCGCCAAGTGCCCAGCAGCGTCCCAGCAAGGGCAGCGCGTCGGCCCCACGACTCCTTCCATGCCTCGTTGAGCAGCGACGTCGCCAGGACGTCCCGCACCGCTCGCTTCTCGAAGCCTCCAGCTGGAAGGCCAGCAGGAGGGGTGGGGGTCACCTGGCCGCTGGCCGTGAGTGTGACGGAGAGCAGCCAGTTCTGCAGGCTGAGGACGGAGGAAGAAGTGAAGGTGAAGGACCCGAGTTGGGCCCCATCCACTAGGCTGATGCTGGAGAAGGCGAACACACTCGTCTGTAAGGTCAGCTGCTTCCCTGCTGGGAAGATGTTTTCAACGGTCGAGCCGTCCACCGCATTCAAGGAGGAAGGGTCTGTCTGGAGCTGATAGTAGAAGGTGACAAGTTCCTTTGATCCCAGCTGCTGCAGGTTTGTAACTGGGAAGCCCGAGGTGTACCGACTGACCACGAGCCCAGCAGGCGTCTCCTCGACGGACCAGCCGAAGCTGCCGACGGCGAGCACGAAGGAGAGGTTGAGATGGGCAACGATCGAGTCCCCTTGAGCGAAGAGAAAGGCACGAGCGACCGATGGTCCAAGTTGCCATGAGCTGGAGGTCTGCTGAGAGGTGTTCAGCAGCCTCTGCTGGAGAAGTACTGGACCGTAAGTTTCAGCAGCCGCAGCAGCCGCAAGGAGCTGAGTGAACTGCTCGCCCTCCACATCAACCGCAAACTTGAAGCCTGTGGAGGAAGGTGACAGGCTCGGAGAGAACAACAACCTCCCTCCTGCATCCACCACCAACAGCTGGACGACCTGGAAACACTCTCAGCTCACCTTCAACTGGACCTTACCCCTCCGGTTGCTCTTTTCCTCACCTTATTCGTCTCAACCAGAGGCTTCACACTGGGATTGCTAGCGAGGCTTGTCTGCGCTCCCGTAAAGGCGAGCTGGGGGGAGACACTGACCGCGGCGACGGCGACAAGCTTCTGATCCTCCGGGGACGAGCTACCGAAATTGAGGAGGGAGGAGAAGATGGGAGCGGAGAAGGTGAGTAGCGGCTGATTGTGCGGCCCCCCGAGTTGTACTTGACTCACAGCGACGGTGGAGTCTGAGCTCTGGAACTTCCTGCTGCTGACGGCGAACCGCTCCCCAGCCTGCTGCTGCCATGCGAACCTGTAGGGGATGCGAGTGAAGGAGCCCGCTGCTCCTGCCGTGCAGGCCATCCCGGTCATCCAGGTCTTCTCGTACATGGAGGAATCAGCGCCCAACGTGACCACGTGGAGGGAGACACCGAGCTGGAGCAGACGGTCAGAGACTGAGGCGGGAGGAGACGGGGAGTAGCCGTTGGTAACCAACACCACCTCCTTCCGCGCTTGCTTGCTCGAGGAAACAGCTGCTGCCTCGTTCTCAAAGACATCGAGAGCAGACGAAATCGCGTCCCCAAGGTTGACGAGTCCGTTGGGCAGCCACGACTTTGCTGCGAGCTGCATCCAACCAGCCGTCACGTTGTCGGCAGCGCACAGTCTGCTCTTGAGCCCCGTCGCGTTACTCAGCTGGCATCCTCCTTGCATCCCACACCCATAGACCCTAGCGACAGACTTTGTCGCTAGCACGAGAGCAACCGAGTCTGCGGGCCCCAGCGAGCCCAGCAAGGATAAAGTCACTTGCTTGCCGACGTACTGACGGTCAAACTCGTCCATGGAACCCCCAGTGTCGAGGACAAACACGACGCTGCGAGGAGCAGAGGCAGCAGCTAGGAACCAGCTCTGCATGCGGGGGTCGAAGCGTTCGTACCCCGGGAGGTTCTGCTCCATCCACACAGTGCCGGGATAGAACCGCTCGATGCCACTGTCGGCCATGGCGATTCGCTGCCAGACAACTCCGAGGGACGCCGCCTGGGCTGATCCAAGAGTCGCCTTCATCCATGGATCCAGGGAGTGGGTGGCATTGATGAGAAGGGCAGCAGCTGAGACCCTCTGGGCTGTCGAGCAGAGAAGAACTTTTGCCTTCACTCTCGTAAGGCAGTATAATGCGATGGCTGGATCGAGCGACGGCTGCTGGAGGTTCCCGTCGGTCCCAAGACACTCGTACTTGCCTCCTGTGAGAGGAGCAAGTCCTCCAAGAATGGCCTCCCGCAAGTCTCCTGCCCGATTGTTGGAGTACGTCGACCCGAACGCTGGGCTCCCGATGCGCATGCAGTACTGCGGGATCTTGACGACGCTGCTGTCGAGGGTGACGGGGGCATGGAAGCGAGGGTCCTGGACGGTCTTCTTGGCGCTCACGTCCGAGGGCACGTCAGCTTCTGTGAGCGCACCTGACGCATGCAGAGCATCCGCATCTGCCCCAGCCGCTTGCAGCAACTGAGCGTCATCTTGGATGCTCGCGAGGTTGGGGGGGATGTTCCGCCTCAGGGCGTTCGAGGCCTCGTCCCGCAGCTTGATCGCCAAGGACGCTGTTGATGCGAGGAGCTGCGAGCTATCCCTCGCTATGCTCCTGACGAGATCCTTGCTGACCGTCCCGTTCGTCTCCTCGGCCCCCGCTGTTGCGTTCTTGAGCGCTGCCTGCAAGAGAGGTGCGGCCGCTGCCTCATTCACTACCTGAAGCAGCTGAGACCCCAACCCGGCAGCGAGTCCTGCGATCGAATCCGCAGTGCTACACGATGAGCGCACGAGGAAGGTGAGGAGGAGAAGGCCGCGCAGTAGCTGACCTATCGCCATCCTTGCAGTGGGGCGAAAAAGTTTCTTGAAAGCCGGAGGAATGTCGAGACTCTTGGACTTGCTCGATACTTCACATCACTGTCAATCGATTGATATCCTTCAAGCACTGTCTACTTCGTTCGCATTCTCCTCAGATTGATCGCCGACATTAGCACGCCTCACTCCATCTCGTTGTCTAGATGTTCGTACTTGCTGCTTCTTGTGCCCTTTGATGAGCCATTCTTGGTTCTCTCCTCTCTCGACGCCTCTCCCTGGTATTCCTGCTGGTATTCTGCCTCCTGCCTCCGTCTCCAGCTCCTCGTCCAGCTCCTCCTCCTCTCTCCTCTCTCCTCCTCTCACCTCCTCTCTCCTCTCTCCTCCTCTCCTTCAGTTATTCCAACCTTGCGACCAGAGTCTGTCTGACCTACGAACACCACCGTGACAACCAACTAGCCGTCCTAGTGATGTTGAGTAATAAATCATTCTGGAAAAGCCTTCACCGGTACTTTATTGGGGAATATGGACGGTGGGGGTGGAGTTCAGGGGTAGTCCAGGTCAGAGGGGGGGTGGGTGGGTATTTCAGTACCAGAGAAGTTTGCTTAACCTTGTTCAGATTAGTTTAGGGGGTAGGGGTACTTGAAAGGTATGTAAGATACCGGTTATAAGATCTCAAATTATCGAATAAAATACGGGTGGTATCAATAATATGAAGGGTGGGGGTAGGGAGGGGAGTCAATGCCGGGGGAGGGGAGGGCGGCGGCAGTGGAAGAGGAGCGGAATGCAGGAAGAGGCACGAGCAAGCTGGTGGGTAGCCCCCGCCCCATCCTCCTCCTCCTCCTCCTCCTCCTACCCTCTCCCTCCTCGTCACGTTCATGTTTCGATGTCAGGACTTCACGTCTTTCTCAATGGTCTGTGGGCGTTACGGCACAGTGATGCTGTAGAGTGACAGTGTGTGTGGGTTTGGCCTGAGAATGTGTACGCGCTCGTGTTTGATTCGAAAACTTCATGTCCATTCATTTTGAAATCCTGAAACATCAACTTTCTCCTGTTATCCATGTCTCTTTTGCAAGAGTGAGTTACAATGAATGCAGGCAACGTTAGGCTATATAAGGTTGTTTCATACCCGAGATATTATACATCCTTATCGTACAGGTGCTCGTACTGTGATGTATTTGAAGCATGTTGATCGTCTCTCTTCTTTATTCCCACCAGCAGCGCATTGTTTCTAGACCCGTAAGATGGAAAGCGACGGGGGAGGGGAAGCTGCGCATAGTCCTTCTACACAGGTGAGGAAAATCTCAGAGGTAGAGGATGGTGACATGCGGCACCAAAGGCGGAGGGAAGGGCGCAGGGAGCTGGAGATGTCTTGTCCACCAACGACGAGATCAGCGACGCTGATTACCGCATCATGCTGCTGCAGCATTGGCGGTACAGGACCTGTGGAGGAAACCTCCGCGAGCATGATTTGGGCTTGAGCTTCAACTACAAATCAGCCATGCGGAAGAAACGAAAATCATCGGGACTTCATCACCCGATGTTCAAGAATCCTCCGCCAGTGTTCTCTCACTTTGAAGCCCTTCCTGCAGATCAGAGCTATGTCGAGGGTGGGAGCGAGGATGAGGAAGAGGAAGTTCAAGGCGGGCAGGGTGCATCAATGCATCCTGGAAAGCGAGCGAGAAATGGAAAATCTCTTCAGCGGAAGGAGAACTTCTCGACGCTCTCGGGCAGTCAGCCCTTCGGTGATGGCCCCTATAGCCACGAGAGGCGGAACGCATGGGCGTCGGTGGTTCGAGTGATGCCTCATCGTCAACGTGATATTGCTAAAGCGCTGCAGCAGCAGCAGATTGACGCCAAGAAATGTGTACAGATGTGCCAGAAACGATACCGCAAGGACGCACTTGCTTCCTTGAAGGTCGCCCGTGAATTTGCATCCCGTTGTAAAAAGCTGAGCAAAGAAGTTGGGGTGATATGGCGCAGAGAAAATGCCCAGAATCTTGCTGCTTCCGGCAAGCTTGATGCGGCGGCTATTGCGCAAGTGGAGATGAGCAGGACCAAGAAAGAAGCAAAGGAGGCGCTGGAGCGAAAGAAGGCAGAGGAGGCAGAGAGAGAGCGCATCAGGCAGCAGAAGAGAATTAACTTCTTGCTGACTCAAACCGAACTCTTCGCTCACTTCATCGGACAGAAGATGGGAGGAATTGACACGGGGACAGAATCCAAGTCATCTTTTGACGGGCCCAGAAGCTCAGTATCCTCTGACGGGGCCCCTGCGAACGATCTTGCTGCTCTGGACAAGGCGGAAACGAAACAAGCACTCGCAAGTGCGCAGCTGGCCTTGCAAGCTAGGCAGCAGAGTATGCAGGCATTTGACGAAGACAGAGAAACTAAGAAGCTGTCAAGGAAGAGCGATCAAGCACTTGTGAACTCATTGGATGAAGCTGGGTTGCAACACAAGGATATTGCCCAAACCAACGAGGTTGCACGGATTTTCAATGGAACTCTGAAGCCGTACCAAAAGATCGGATTCAACTGGTTGATTGGGCTGTATGAACAGGTAAATTGAAATTGACAAATGATCTCAATATATACTGACGCCTTTCCTTACCTGTAGGGTTTGAATGGCATCCTGGCTGACGAGATGGGTTTAGGCAAGACTGTTCAAACCATCTCTTTGCTGTCATGGTTGGCAGAGGAGAAGAGTATCTGGGGTCCATTTTTGGTTGTAGCTCCAACCTCTACGATGCATAATTGGTACTCAGAGCTACAAAAGTTCTGTCCGCAGATGAAAGTTATCCCATACTTCGGTGCCAACCCAAACGAGCGAAAACTTCTTCGCAGGCTATGGACGAATCCTGTATCGCTGGGTACACCCGGAGCACCTTTTCATGTGTTGGTCACCAACTACAAGCTGATTGTGGCCGATGAGAAGCACTTTCAGCGAGTGAAATGGCAGTACATGATACTGGATGAAGCGCAGGCTATCAAGAGCAGTGCCTCGCAAAGGTGGAAGATTCTCTTGGGTTTCAACTGCAGGAATCGATTGCTCCTGACTGGAACTCCGATCCAGAATTCCATGGCTGAGCTCTGGGCTTTGCTGCATTTCATCATGCCGGAACTGTTCGACTCGTTCAGTGACTTCACCGAGTGGTTTTCCAAAGACATCGAGTCGTCAGCTGAAGGAAAAGGAACGGGAATGGATCAAGCGCAGCTGAGAAGGTTACAGCTCATCCTGCAGCCTTTCATGTTGCGAAGGACCAAGAAGGATGTTTTGGACGAGCTTGTTCACAAAGTTGAGATAGAAGTGAGGACTCCGTTGTCTTCCAGGCAGAAGTACTACTACGACATGCTCAAGAGGAGAGTGACCTCGACTGCTGAGCTGCTGGACAGAAAGATGCTGTCAAAAGATGACAAGAGGCTGCACTCTCTTATGAACTTGGTGATGCAGTTTCGCAAGGTCTGCAACCATCCAGAGATTTTCGAGCGAAGAGACTTTATTTCTCCATTGCAATTCCAGGAATACGTCTTGCCTTCTCAACCCCCCCCTCCTTCTGAGCCGATCCCAGTCTGTGTAATCAACAGAAACCCTGTCATCTTCTTTCTTCCGAAGCTGATGTACGACGACACTTTCTTACACAACTCATGGAGCAGGCGCAATTGTGATTCGAGGTCGCGTCTGTTGAAGAGCATTCTTAGTCCATGGTCGGCTGATTCCGTTCATGCGAGCATGGGATGGGGAGCGTGTGGGCCCGGCTTGAGCTGTCTCCGTCTCATGGGACTCTCCCCCGGCGAGGTCAGCGACATAATTTGGGCATCAGATCCGCAGCGTTGGTTGGCCTTCAGATCATTTCTTGGGCGCGTGCGATCATTGCAGATGTCGTGCATGTCCGATGAAGATGCGCTGAAGTTGCCGCAAGAAAGAACTTCCTGCAGGCCAAACATTCTTTTCCGGCTCAAAGATGAAGATGTTGAGAAGAATCTTGAAGGGGATCTTGTGGTGAGCTGCACGAGGCGGCTGCATCAGCTGGCTCCTTTGATTCATGTCGGGAATATCTTCTCTCCTCCTGTCCTATCGTCTCCTGTACAGCTGCATTGCGTCTCTGCTCACTGCGCTCGTCATCACATGCATAGTCTGGAAAGCTCTTGGGTTCGAGAACTTCTGCTGGGCTCAGTGCATCCTCAGCATGAGCCAGATATTAGCGATCCTTGCTCGTTCCCTCCCTTGTCATGTACTCTTAGCTCCTTCACTCCTTCTCAGCCCCTGCTCTCCCACTGGCTACGACGCTATGGGTCATGCTGGATCCGAGTTCCCGACCTCGCTCGCCTCATCACGGATGCGGGCAAGCTCCGGATACTAGATGAACTGCTTCCGAAACTCAAGGCAGAGGGGCACAAGGTAGGTTTCTGATAGCCCTGCTACTCCATGTGTGTTCTTTTGGTCAAAGTCCTGATGCCTTTGTGCCAGGTGCTCATGTTTTGTCAAATGACGAAAATGATGGACATCCTGGAGGATTACTTTTGGTATCGGAAGCACACGTACTTGCGACTGGACGGCTCGGCCTCTATCGCAGACCGCAGGGATATGGTGAACGACTTCCAGTCAGAGGTTTGCGATGCTTTCTCGTCTTCAAGTTTCTTGAGGCCTGACCAACGTCCAGGACTCTGACGTATTCATTTTCCTTCTATCAACACGAGCTGGTGAACTCTCTCTCTTCCCCTCTCCGTCCATCATTGCCTCCCTCGATCCCCCGCAAGCTCCCCATGATATCGTTAGCATCCTCATTTCTTCTTCTCTTGTCTACTCCGACGAGATCCCTTGTGTCTTGATGTGACAAGTGTCTCTGACCGGGAGATCCTCCATGAATCTGCAGGAGGTCTTGGAATCAACCTGACTGCTGCTGACACCGTTGTCTTCTACGACTCCGACTGGAACCCGACCATGGACGCGCAAGTGAGAAGGAGAGGAGGCTTGCGCAAGCTCGGTCTCACGTCCTCTCCAGGCTATGGATCGAGCACATCGACTGGGGCAGACTAAGCAGGTGAGCCAGTTTTCCTTGTTCCTTTCTGCTCGCTCCCCTTCCACTGGATGTTGACGAATCCTGTGATTTGTGCGACTTGCAGGTCACTGTATATCGCCTCGTGTCAAAGAACACCATCGAAGAACGAATCTTGCACCGCGCCAAGCAGAAAGATCATATCCAGCAGATGGTCATCTCTGGCGACAAGGCGTCGTCCACGTTCAAAGGTGAGGAAGCTTGTTGATCGTTTCTCTTGACGATGACTGCGATGTGCAGGGAATGTTGACAACAGCTTCAGAGCGACCGACTTTGCGGATCTTTTGTTCGAGGAAGATGCGGATGATGATGATGATGCGGTCAAAAAGAGCAAAGACAAGCTCAAGAGTGAGAGCACGCAAGATGTTTCGGAGAAGATGGAAATACAGCAAGGCGAGGAGAAGAGCGAAGAGGCTGGCGGAGATGCGTCGATGGAAGAGACTCCTGCTCCCGAAGGATTGGAGGAGGTGAAGACCGAGAGTGACCCTGCTCACGATGTGTCGGCGCAAGTGAAAGTTGAGGAGCCACCGGAGGAGCCGCCAGCGAGAGATGAAGAGGTGGAGGCGGAGAAGTTGGGGGACTGGCTGCAGGTGCATGGCAAGGTGGAGGTGGAGTGGGGAGGAGAGTGGTGGGACGGGATCGTCCTGGGGATCAAGGTGAATCATTTCCGAAAGGTAGCGAAAGTTCACGTTGAGTACGTCGGTGGAGAAGATGACTCGGAATGGATTGACCTCTCCTTCTCGACCATCTGCGGTTGGATCTCCGGGAGACTGCGAGAATGGGAAGAGCATGCGGAGGGTGCGGCGGGTAGTGCAGGCGCAGGAGCGGGGGCAGGAGGGGCAGGAGGGGCGGTTAACGGATCAGCTGGTTTGGCCGAGAAGACGGAGAGCAACAAGATTCACATCAAGAAGGAGGGGAACGTGGAGAAGTTTATCAAGCAGCAGCAGGAGATGAGGAAACAGGAGACGAGCAGGTCGATCACTGGGCCTGCAATCATCATGGACATGGAGGATTGACCTCTCGCCAGCCCCTCCCTCACTCTCTTGTATGTAAATGAAAGCTCAAGATTTTGTTATACTCTGAAGTCATGGAGTTTTAACGAGGATTAGGCGGTGGCGGGAAGGAATAGCGAAGGAGCAGAGGTCGACAAGGAGGAGGAGGTTATAAACGGATGCCCTGTATCTCGAAGGCGAGGACAGCGCCGATAGCTGAAATGAGGAGACTGGAGATAGGTGTAAGCTTTTCTACTTCTCCTCCTCCTTCCCTCGCGCTCATGACGTACCTGACGACAGCTGGCTCTGCTCGTAAGAAGAGGACGCGCATAGGTTGAGCCTGGAGGCCAGACGTGAGGGGCGGGGGATCGGGGATGGGAAGGAGAGCGACAGTGAGGGGGTCGGACGTGAACGAAGAGGAGGCGGAAGAGAGAAGAGGAGTCGGAGAAGGATAATGAGGACGATAATGAGGAGGATGAGGAAAAACAAAAAGGAGGAGGAAGAAGAGGAGTTGGAGGATGCGGAAGAAGAGATGAGGCGGAGAGGAGAAGTCACTGCATCTGCCGCTCCGATTTCAGATACGACAGCTCCCAGGATGTCAGCCGTCTGCGGGGCGGGTAAGAAGAGAAGGAGAGCAGCAGGGGAGGAGGGAGCAGAGGGAGGAGGCTGACGAAGATGCGAGGGAGCATGAGAAATAAGGGTGGAGGAAGTGCCTCAATCAAGGTCTCGTAGGTCTCCTCAGGCTCTTTCACTCGCTTCTTTGACCCCGCGAGGATGAGACAAGCTGACTGAGCTCGCGTGAGCACCTACTCAAACGTCAGCTCCCCCCTCTTCAGGTCTCTAACTCTTCCCCCATCCCCTCCACACCCCTCCGCATTTCCTCCTTCTCCGGCTCTTGGTTGCTAGAATCATCGAGTACACTCAAGTAACCTGCATGTAGGCGGAGGAGAAGCTGTTGGTTATGTAGGCCGTCATTGTCTGCAAGGGTAGTCACACCACACGAGCCAGAGGGGTCCAGGAGGAGAGCGAGCTGGAGGAGAGGCGGACGAGAGCTGAAGTAGCGGAAGGACAAGGAGGAAACGAGACGAGGAGTAGGGAAACTTCACCTGAATCATCAGAGGAGTCGCCAGCACAACAAGGCGGACAACAGCTGGGATCTTGATGTCCAGACCAAACTGGGAGGAACTCATCCCGTCTGCTCGCACGTCTGATCAGAGAGATGAAGGAGGGAGAAGGATGGGGAGAACAGAGGAGAGCGAGGCAAGGGTCGAGGGAGAGAAGAGAGCGGGGGAGAGGATGGTAGAGAAAGGATGGTTCTCACACTCCAATTGATACACGTATGACCCAATAGCCTCCACAGCAGCTGAACAGAAGTAGACCCCAAGGCATGCGCAACCTTCATGCCCAGTCAGCGCAATTCCCTCCCTTTCCCCCTCCTCTCTCTCTCTCTTCTTCCTCCCCCGCCATTCTCACTGTATAGCTGAAACTTCAGCTCGATCGAAGGAGCAAACGCCCGACCATGCATGACGCGCCACAGCGCTGCCCAGCCTTCTACGTTGCCTGGCTTGCGAAGGTCAATCCGAGGCAGCGCAGAGCGTGAGCTAGCCACGGAGCCCTTGCGGATGTTCCACTCGAAGGTGATCCCAGAAGGAGGAGCGATCAAGTCCAGCAGCTTCTGAGCAAGACGCATCAGGCGCCAAAGCCAGAGGCAGGGGGCGTAGGCGAAGTAGGCCATGATGAAGAAGCCGTAGCTGGCGAGGGTGTGGAACAGGTAGAACATGTGCTGGGCCATGTTAGTGCCGAAAACAGGCTCGTTGAGACAGGCGCGGATGACCAGCGGCAGGCACGCGATGGTGAGGGAGAGCAGCATGATAGCAAAGAAGTATCTCTGACCCTGCTTCTGCGGAAGGTAGAAGCACTCCAGAAGGAGACTAAGTGCTATCACTGAAGCCGGAGCCTCCCCCTGCTGCACGCGAGCGCTGATGGCCTCGTTGGTCTCGCGGAACAAGCAAGCGAGCAAGCCGCTCTTGGCTCGGAGCAGGGGATGGCTGGAGGTCTGGCGAATGGCGTGGAGGACGAGAGCAGCTCCTGACTTCTTGAGGTCTGAGAATTTCACGTCAGGCCGGAGCCTCCGCACGAGGTCGTGAAACTCGTCAAAGGAGAGGCGGCCGTTGCCATCGACGTCAAACTCTTGCAGGATCATCCGAATTTCTTCCATGTTTGCCTTGATCCCCATGGCTGACAGCGCAACCTGAAGCTCGTCCACGTCAATGTCGCCCGAGTCGTTCCCGTCGATGGTCTGGAAGAACTCGAAGGCCCCGTCGATCTGCGACAAGCTCTCCACAAGCGAGTTCCAGAGCTGGACAGTCAAGTTGGGCTTGCCGAAGAAGGAGACGCTCTTCCTGGTCGACTTGGTCCTTGTACGATATGACGTGGTGTCAACGTCTTCAGGGTCAACGACTGTGGTGGTGGCAGAAAGAACGTCGTCCATGGGAGAATCTTCGAACTTGAAGTTGAGGAAGGCGCAGGAGAGATCGACGTCATGGTAGAGGCAGGACTTGTACAGCAACTTCACCAGAACCTCTTTTTGGAAGTTGCCCACGTTCATGATGTACTCTGACATCTGCTGCTGCGACATTTGTGCTGTCTCCGAGTACGCTGAGGTGTGAATACTGCAATTCTCCGACTGCGAGAACAGCAGGTCCCCGTAGAAGGCGTACTTGAACGCGAGCGTGCTTGCTCGCCCACCGAGCACGAGGAACAAGGTGACGACTTCGTAGAGAGCAGAGACCTTGAGCGACGAGTGCCAGAGGATCACAATCGCTAAAGTAGTCCAGGTGGGCAGCATAGGTAGCGTGAGATCATTTGTGATCATTACCCTGAGCTGCCTCAGGTTTGCCGGCCAGAACTTTTTATTGACGGCAACCGTGTAACCCTCGAACAAGCGCACGAAGGGAGCAGTGACGAGGATGGGACTGATCTCGTAGACGAATGCTTTCAACGCAGGCACAAACTTGAACCGCATCTCGGAAACCACCTCTTTCCTGTGCTCCCTCCATAAGTTCCCCGCGTCCTCACCGAAACATTCCCGAGCATTTCTCTCAGCGTTGGCGCTGTCAAGAGCAAATGAGTAGACGGCTTGCTGTTTGACGCTCGTGGTCCTCTTCATCACCTCCTCTTCCACCTCTTCAACTCCTGCTTCCTCTGGCATGACCCACGATTCTTTCATTCACTTTCCTTCAACTCAGAGTTATTGTCCGCCATCAGGCGCAGAGAAGAATCTTTCAGTCAGTCTCTCTTGTGCCAGTCTCCTTCCTTGTTCAGACTAGACCAAACCAATGGAAAGCTCTGACGAAAACCTTTTTGAAAAGCAAATGAATTCCTGCAAGAGAGACTCAACCTGTGCTTCAACCATCAGGATTATCTCTGCATATGCTTGCTGCGATAAAACTAAAGAAACATCAACGTCAATGGTCGTCATTTTCATCAAATGACAAGACTCCAGCAACAATTGTGGTACAAAACAAAACAAACTAGTCACCGGCTTCCACGATAGTTATCATTCACCTCATTCTGCCTCTCTATCTTCCCTGCAAACTTTCTTCTACATCTTCTCTCCTCTCTCCTCCTCCTCCCTCGATCATCTTCGCTCCTTCGCCCTCCCTCTCTCCCGTTCCTCTTGCCGTTGCGCGCCTGCAATGCACCTAGCCATATTCCAATCCTTCTGTACTACCCCTCTAGTTTCCCTCAAATAGGGGGGTCATCATGACGGGGTTTTTACTCCAGACAAAACAATGTATTTTATTAAAATGAACCTGAATCTGGTACCCTCATCCCCTCCCGGACCAACCTGACGGCCTTGCTGGCAGTTACACGGGCAGTTATTCCTAAAAAACCAGTCGAGGCCCAACAATGACTTTTAACACTAAATTATTTTAAAAGATCCCACCACCCCACCCACAATTCATTGTCAGTGGCTACTGTAGTACCCACATAATACCTCTAGAAATGGGGGGTCACAGGCAGGCGGGTGGTACCATGTCGCCGGGACTCTGTAAACCACTTGTTGTGGGCATTGCGTGCAACCGCAATCCTGATCGGGCAAGTAAGTAAACTCGCTATGTTTTGTATCATATCCTTCCCAAAGATTATAATCTCCCAAGGGAGCATCTATAACTATTTTATTTAATGTACCGGTGAAATTCGAGAGAGAACCACCGGTACCAGGTACATTTTTTAGCTAATAGTTATATACTCTTGCCAGGATCCCCATGAGGAAAGTTACATGTGCCATGACCGTCATGGTGTGGTTGAACCAGAGCCAGTTCTGTCATCGTCGCGTTGATCTGCTTCATCATCTCCATATTAGTTTCTCTCTATCTCTGCCCCTTTGTGCCTGTGCCTGTGGGTGCGTTTTTGCTCGCGTGCAAGGTCTGCTAGCTTCACTCGCTCCTCCCTTCATCATTGTTGTCACTATCATTTCCATCATTTGTAACCCTTTTGATATATCTCTCCCTCTCCCCACCGCCCCCCCTTCCAATCATCCCTCGTTTTCATCGTTCTTATTCATCTTCCAGCTGGTTGTAATATCTCTCAAAGACCTCATTTCACTCCTACCCACACTACAGATACAGTCATGCATATGGTCATCATCGTCATATCGAATATCGAAACCGTTGTATGTAATCATATTCGTCTCGCCACCACCATCACAACTATCTAACACTACTATAAATGACGCATAATGATGATCGCAATCATAGCCATGGTCCACCTCCACTTCAATCGCCATCGGCACGCCAACCTCCCCTCCCAAACCGCTTCCCCCAACATCTCCTTCACCATCACCAGATCAACACTACGAAAACCACCACATTCTGATCGTCCTCTCTCATCATTGTGAACACCATCGCTCTCATCACCACCACCACCTCCTCCTCCTCCACCACCGTCACTACCTGTATTACGGTCAACGTTCTTGTCCTCGGTTTCATCTTCATCATCAAAATCTCCAAAATTGTCATAGTCATCATTTTCACCTATCCAATCGTTCACTTTCACCGCTCTCTCCCGGTTCCTCCTCCCTTTCTCCCCTGCTGATCCTCCTCCTCTTCTTCCCCTTCTTCCTCCTTCCGCCCCCCCTTCTCCCCCTTTCAAGGCTTCCGGCTCCTTGCCTCTGCTCCCCTTCTCGCATCACCCCTTCCCCTTCACTCTTCCCTCTCCCCCTCCATGCCAGAATCCCGGCTCCCTATCATGGTCTTGATTTTTATCATCATTGTCCTCGTCGTCATGATCCTCCTCCTCCTCTCATTGTCATTGTCATTGTCCTGACTAGTCCTCGTCATCATCATTCAAGCATCATCATGGTCACGGTCATGGTCATGATTGCCCTTTATCTCCTCCTTGGCCACCTCCTCCTCATCTCTCGATGCAACTCGTCTCACATGACAACCGAGATCAACGAGCTATCTAACAGCAGTGCATTGCTCTTTTTGATTTATTTTCATCCTCGTGAACCTCATTTTGTCAATTGACCTTTTGTCTCCTTCTCTGTACCCTATATATTTTTGTGTTTAAAATGTTTTAAGAGTCAAAAGGGGACCACGCCGTTGAACATGCTAGGAGGAGAAAGAAGAGCAGAACAAGAAGATTGAAGGGAGCTTGTGCAGTAACAGGAGTTGAGTGGAGGAAGTTGAGTAAGACGACAGAGCATTAGACCAGAGTATGAGACGTGGGTCAACACAAGGTTGATCATGGTTGAGCAATCATTGATTGATTCAGATTAGAGACGAACCCAATAGAAGTTGCACCCTAGAAGGCTACCTGTGATCAATGTGATAGTATATGTGATGAAAGTGCTGTATTCCAATGTGAATTCATGTGCTATCATCTTGTGCTTGCTGACTTTTTGATTCTTTTAGTTAATGAACGATGTCGTTCGCAGCCCTCGATATCGAACCAATCACAGCCGATGACAAGATCCTGGAGATGCTCCGGTCATGTGGAGACAAGTTCTCAGATGAAGAGGATACCGAGACAGACGATTCTTCTGCCCCTCAGACTCCAACCCACGCTCTTTCCTTCAGCACCCGCAAGGCCGATTCCACCACCGCACGTCTGAACCTTTCGCCGTCTAAAGGGCTTGATGTCGACCAGGAGGAAGCTTATGAGGCGATCAACTCCGATGAAGTCGATCCTGCGCATGTCACGATTGCTGCGGATCTCAAGATCCCCGATATCGAGTGGAGAACGACACAATCTCCGGTCTTGACAAGAAAATCTCTTGACGACACCTTTAAGGAGTTTGTCCTTGCCAACACAGACGCCAAAGAAAGAGAAGAAGTCAACGATGATGATGAAACTCGCCAAGACGCTGATCACACTGGAGATGTCATGGTTCATGCGCTTCAACTCAAGAATGATGGTGATAAGAACGAGTCGCTACTTGAGACGTGTCGAACTGACTTGCAAGACCTGGATGAGGAAGTCTTGGAGGTAGAGAAAGCAGCGCTGATAAAGATGGAGAGCATACGAGAAGACGAAGACGAAGACGAAGACGAAGAGGACGAGCAAGTTGGAGCTGATCTCCCGGTCGCTTCGGAGACGGTGCAGTCAGACTCGGATTCAGACGAGGTGGACAGCATGATCAAGACTCTTAAGATCAGGCTGGAAGAGTGGAATGAGCTGCCGCTCGCCCCTGCGCCGGCTCACAGCATGAACACACCGCAGGAACCCGCTACTGTTCTCTCTCTCTCCGACCTCCGACCGAAGCCTCTGGCTAAAGTTCGCAATGACATTAGGATTGCCTATGAGCCCGTCAAGCAGCAGCACGTTGTCACCTCCGAGTTTCGCACAATGCTGGGCGGGCGCTTAGAGCATCCCCTGGTCGACTGCTGCTGCTGCTGCTGCTGCTGCTGCTGCTGCTGCTGCTGCTGCTGCTGCTGCTGCTGCTGCTCCTCCTCCTCCTCCTCCTCCTCCTCCTCCTCCTCCTCCTCCTCCTCCTCCTCCTCCTCCTCCTCTTGTCTTGTACACGCTCTAATCCCACTCTTCGAATTAAGCTGGTGTCTGTCTTGATGCTGACGTAAGATCAGGTGCGATTGCATGGGCAGTGTACCAAGGTGCAGCAGCAGCAGAAGAGAAGAACGTTGGAGCGAATTTCCCACGAAATGAGCGGCGAGGATGTTGAGGAAACGCATCTCGAGAATCTTTCCAAAGTTTTTCTGTCCCGAGGCAAATCGAACGAGTTCAAGAGGTCTGCGCTTGTTGAGACATGCGAGGGACGAGGAGAGACTTGCGGGAGGCGATGGAGGGGAGAGGAGAGGAGCGGAGGAACGAGGGATGAGGGGAGAGGATGATTTTGTGTCTTTTCTTATTTTATGGCCCCTCGTAACTTAATTGGCAGACCACTGTCAACTGAGCCTTTGAAAATTGAGTCCGACAAAGAAACCGCAAAGTTGATCCTCGTTCTTGTGCTCCTCGTTCTCGTCCTCGTCCTCGTCCTCCAACCTCTCTTCCTTGTTCTCTTTGTTCTCCTCTTCGTTCAGCTGTTTTCCGACTTCTCGTTCTCCTCCTTCTCCTTGCGTCCTCCTTCTCTGGCTCGTACTCTCTCGTGTCTTTTGTCCCCCCTCCCTCTAATGTGGTCGAGGCTTGTCTCTCATGCTTCTATTTTCTTGGTCGCAGGTCGACTTTGCTATGGAAGCGACCTGATAACGAGGGACACTTTGCTGCGACAAACAAGCAGAGACGATCGGTGAGATATGCTGCTGCTGCTGCTGCTGCTGCTGCTGCTGCTGCTGCTGCTGCTGCTGCTGCTGCTGCTGCTGCTGCTGTTGTGGAGGAGGAGGAGGAGGAGGAGGAGGAGGAGGAGGAGGAGGAGGAGGAGGGGAGGAGGAGGAGGATCATAATGATCATTATTACGACTATGATGACAATCTTGGTGGTGATGCCGAGGCTGCTGCTGCTGCTGCTGCTGCTGCTGCTACAACTGCTGTTGATCATGATGATCTTGATGACGATGACGATGATGAAGGTAGTGATGATGCTGATGCCGATACTGGTGGTGCTGGTGGTGGTGGTGGTGGTGATGATGATGATGATGATGTTATATTATCGGGAGGGTTTTGCTGCTTCTGTTGGTGCAAGAAGAGTATAAAGCTAATGACGCGGCTCAGCAGCGATCAGAAAGTTTTGACATTGACAGCGGGAGGAGCATTCTTCACCGCACCATCGGCATGCTCAAGAAGAGCATCTCAACCCTAGCTGAAGGAAAACTTCGTGAGCTCTGCCATTGTTGCTGTTTGGCGCTTCTGATCGTCCGCTCAGCAACGGATGGGGAGGTTGAGAGGATTTTCAACCTTATCGATCGAGAGGGGCAGGGGGAGGTGACGGCTCAAGACATCTTGACAGCCGTTGACAGCAACGAGCTGGTCAGTCATTTCTTCCGCCCAATCATGGAAACAGACATCGAGAGCGGAGAAAGGTGCGAGAGCCTCTTGTTCTCTTCCCCCGCCTGCTACTTGAAGAGTTTGAAAAGCTGCCTTCTAGTGTCCTTCCGTCCTCCTTCCTCGATGCCAGACTGGGCGGTATGAGCCTCGAGGTGAAAAGCTGGGAAAGTTTGACAAGGTCTGACGCGAGCTGCGAAGAGCTTCAAGTGTCGTATCGTTGCTTGTCATCCTGACAGTCAGCTGGACTCGGGAAGAATCAAGGGGAACCATTCGTTCCGAAGGAAGTTGAGCCATCCAGCCACTCCCACTACCAGAATCTCTCACGTTAGTACCACTAGAAATCCCTTGCCTTGTCCTCTGCCCTGCTCTCTTCTCTCCTTTCCTCTCCTCTCTCCTTCCCTCTCTTCTCTCCTTTCCTCTCCTCTCACCTCCTCACCTCCTCTCTCTCGATGCTTCTCATCTGCCTCTGCAGGAGTCTTCGGTGCTCGAGCGCCGACAGTTTCGTGCAATGAGTGAGAGCGGCAGCAGCGCGCCGATGGCCTGGAGGAACAAGAGTGCCTTCAGACGGTCAGTGGTGGACGACCAGTCGCGGAAAGAAGCAGAGGAGGTGGCTCACTTTCTTCTCGCTCCTTCTTCCTGCTCTTCACGTGTGTCTCCTCCTCTCCTCCTCTCTCCTGTCTCTCCTGCCTCTTCTTTTCTCCTCTTCTGCCCTTTCTCCCCCCCCGTCTCTCTCCTCTTCTCCTCTCTCTATGCTGCTGGTCTCAACCCTCCTTGTCTCTGCTTATCCTCCTCAGGTCAACCACGAGGGTCAGCTGGACCCGGACGTGGGGCAGCAAGTGCGCGCGCAGTCGAATCTCTGGCTCTACTTCCGCGTGTGTTGGATCGTCGGCATCGCAATTGCTGACCTCATCAGCTTCTTTGTCCTTCAGATCGGATGGTCTGGCGACTTTCTGTGTGCAGTCGACGAGACGAGGACGAGGCTGAACCGAGGAAACTTTGCGTTCATCGTCCTCCTCATCTTCTTCCACCTCTGCTACATCCTCCCCATCATCTTCGAGCCCGACTTTGCAGGACGGAGGATATACTGCCCTACCTACGCCTGCCTGATCTCGCAGGGCTTCAACCTCTGGTACCTCATCGTCCTCCTCGCCTCCAGCATCGTCCTCGCCCTCCACAGCAGCAGCTGCTTGTCAGCTGAGGTTGACCCCAGCAGTCATCAGCCCTCCTCCTCTAAGCTTGACGTTAATGCCCGCCTTCACCTTGCTTTGCAGCTGCTTCGCACCATCTCAGCTCTCCATCGCTGCCGCTCGCTGGGCTCTGACCTGCGCGTACGGCTGCAGACGGTGGTATCAGTGAACAAGCGGAGGTTCATCGACCCAGACGCCAACCTCAACCTCGACCTCACTTACATTTGCGACCGCCTCCTCGCCATGGCGCTCCCTTGCGTCGACGGCGCCATGTACCGCAACGACGTGCGGGACGTGGCGAAGTTCTTCTCCTCGCGGCACTTCGGGAGTTTCGTGGTGGTTAACCTCTGCGAGAACTTTGAGGAGGCAGGCAACGGCAACTACGACTCGTCGCTGCTCTACGGGCAGGTGCAGAAGCTTCCTATGTTCGACCACAACGCGCCCACCCTCAAGATCCTCCTCGAGTACTGCGAGCGAGCGACGCGATGGCTGAACGCAAGCAAGAAGAACGTGCTCACCATCCACTGCCGGGGGGGGAAGGGACGCACAGGTACCTTCGTGTCTGCCATGATGATGTGGACGGCGACCTGCCGGACAGCAGACGAGGCCATGGCGTACTTCGCTCACCGGAGGACGCAGCCGTCGCAGACACACAGGGGGATGCAGGGGGTGGATGCGCCATGTCAGAAGCGCTACCTTGGGTATCTGGAGAAGCTGCTGGCTAACGACGGGGAGATTGACTTCCTCTCTCCCCGCCTCCTCCTCCTCAAGAGCGTGCAGCTGAAAACGACGCCCAGCTGGCAGAAGCAGGCGTGCCGAGTGTCGTTCATGGTGCTCAACGGGACCAACCTCATCTTCGACTACGGCAAGGCGCACGGTATCTTCGACCTGCAGACGGAGGACATGGAGAACAGCGTGTGGACGTTCGACCTCGGGCTGCTGGCAGTCAGCGGCGACATCACGATCCGCTTCTTCTACTTCGACGCTGATGCCGCCATGAGCAACATCGTGGGGCAGCGAGGGGAGCTGCTGCCCGGGGGGATGGGGGTGAGGTACGGGGGTGTGAAGGGAAAGCTGCTGTGCTTCGTTTCCTTCCACACTGCCTTCCACCAGTCGCGGATCGTGTTCAGCAAGAGCGAGATCGACGAGGCGTACAACGACTGGAAGCAAGAGCGGTTCTCCGACCGCTTCGAGCTGACCGTTGAAGTGTTTGCGGGGTCATCGGAGGAGGCGAAAGACTTCTTTGACATCAAGCCGTACTCGGTCAACGGCCTCGATCTGGGACTCCCTCCCGGCATCCGCGAGCTCCAGCTCAAGGAGAGCATAGCCGATATCTTCCTGCGCGGCCGCGGGTGCATCGAGCTGGAGGAGGATGCGGAGGTGTCAGGGCTGAGCTGCTTCGGAGAGAAGGGCAAGCTGCTGTGGGTGGAGGAGGGAGGCGTACAGCTCGAGATCGAGCACATGCGAGCTCCCGACGGGTGCGCACTGGGAATGAATCAGTGCAACTCGTCGATGTACATGGGGAAGGTGGGAGCTGGAGCTCTGCTGAACATGCGGGAGTGTCTGCTGGGCAAGGGGCAGCCCATGACCAACATGCGATGCGTCGTGAGGAGCAAGCGAGCGAGGCTGCGATGCCTCGACCTCGGCAGAGACCTGCACCTCCCCAGCTGCCAGGTGGACCTCAGCCCAGCTGACCTCCTTAACCTCTTCGAGACGCTGGCAAAGAACCTCGCGTGCAAGTCGCGCGACATCGCGGTCCTCCTGCACCAGACGGCGCAGGCGCAGAACGTGAAGCGAGACGCGGAGGCTGGGCAGGCGGACGAGCGCGCGAGGTTCGTCGCGAGCGTCATCGAAAGGAACGAGCTACCCATCACGGAGCGCGTGATCTTCTCCTGCGAGGCAACGCTGGTGCAGGGGACGCGCAAGGTTGAGGGACAGTTCTTCATCTTCTTGGAGTGGGTCATCTTCGCCACCGTCTCCTCCCTCCAGCGCGACTGGCGCATCGCCGTCCATCACATCCGAAGCTTCCGCGCTGAGAGCGATCGCCTCATCCTCAACCACAGCACCCTGCTCGAGCATGACGGCTCTCCGCTGTCTCACTTCTCCAGCGGGGATGAAAGCTTCCGGCTGCTCTCTCGCACTTCCACCCTCCGTGGGGACGACAGCGGAAAGCCGCTGACGAGGAGCGTCTCCAACCCGCAAGCCTCGGACGACGAAGTTCCTTCGTCCCCGGGACCCCACGCAAGCGCCACGAAGCTGCGCACACGTATGTCGAACCTGCTGACGGGGGAAGGGAAGGGAAGCGAGAAGAGCGACAAGGCGGAGAAGAGCGACAAGGCGGAGAAGAGCGAGACTATCCTGATGGCCGCGTCTGACCTCCGAATAGCCGAGAAGGTTCTCAAGAAGCTGCAGAACAAGAAGCAGATGGTCCTCGAGTCTCCTGCTTGGAAGTCTCAAGGTAGTTTCTTCCCCTCACGCGGTCAGAGCGAGCAGCTTCGGTCCTTCGGCTTCGTCCTCGTTAACGAGAGCATCTCCGACGCCGAGTCCGCCATCTTCTCTCAGCTGCTCGCCAAGTCCAAGCGAGCCTCGTTCCGCTCAGGGGAAGTGATCATGGAGGCAGGATGCGTCAAGCGATCTATCATCCACCTCATCAGCGGCATGGTGACGGCACGAGGAGCGACGGGGACGGTGTTCTCGGTGCGGCAGGCAGGGTTGGGAGACTCGATTCTCGGCGAGCTTGCCTTCTTGGAGAGTGGGAACAAGGGAGCAGGAGCAAGCATCATTGCAGAGTCAGAAGTGGACTGCCTCATCACCTCCTACGACGTCCTCGAACTTCTCAGCTGCAACGAGCCAATGGTGGGGGCTCGCTTCTACCGGAAGATAGCCATGTGAGAATTTCTGCTCTGCTCTTCTCTGCTCCCCCCTTCCCCCCTCCCCCCCCCCCCTTCCTCCTCACTCTGTTCAATAGATCCCTCGCACGTCGACTTGAGAAGCAAATCGAGCAGCTTGTCATGACAACAGAGTAAGAAAGCAGAGGAGGAGTGACAAGTTTGACTAGTTCTGCAGGTGTGATGGAGACGTGTTTCTTGAAGATTATCTTCATTGAAAGGAGCTTGTACATGAGATGTCAAAATAATTTCTTACATGATAACATACAAGGTGACACCAACTTCTTTCTCCTTACTTCTTGCCTCGGACCTTATCATTGTTGATCTCCCTCCTACAATAATTCTCACCGACGCTCTCCCTTCGCATCCCCCTGCTCCTCCAGCCCTCTCTCCTCACCTTTCCAGCTCATGCTCGTAGTTCTCGTATCCTCTCTCCACATGTTCCAGCGGTTTCATGTGTCGGTTGAACATCTTATCCGCAGCTCTGACAGCCTCTTCCTCTGCCCTCCTCGTCTCCAGCTCCTGCACTCCAGTTAGCCACCATTTCACCTCCAGGACTCTCGCACCAGCTCCTGCTCCTTCCTCCATCTGCTTGTCGACTTCGTGACCAAGCTCTTCGACATTGGCGATTGAGTCAGTCCCTTCCTCTCCGTTGTCATGCCTCCTCGCGGCAACGCTAGCATGTGACTCGCTTTTCTCATCCTCTCCATAGCCAGGTTGTGAATTTCCTTCTTGTGAGCCTGCAGGAAGTAGTCTTCCTCGCTCTTAAAGGCAGACCCGATCGCATCCACGTGCCTCTTCAGGTTGGCATTGACGGCCGCATGCTTGTCTTCATCCTCCTCTTTAGAGATCTTCATCCTCTGATCCCTCACCTTCCTCTCCACTTCTCTCTCCTTGCTCAGTGAGCTTCTCGCATCCGCTCGCTTGATTCGCTCAAGCAGACTCTTCTCTTCCTCCTTCACCTTGGCAGACACGTAGGACTTCTGCGCCTTCCTCAGGCCCGCAAGAACCGCGTCGTCGCTTTTGACGATAGTCAAGTCGTCATCCTGCTCATCTGAGGCAGCGGACGACGAGCTGGTTGATTTGACAGCTGAAGCAGCTGGAAGGGAGCTGGCTGGTTTGACAGCGTCCGGGCTTCCCTTCTCTTCATCGTCCTGAGCATCTGCTTCTTCACGAGCTTGCTTAGCCATGTCAATGAGCTTCTCTTGCTCGTGAATTTCCTTCACAAGAGATCGTTGCTTTTTGCGGAGCTTTTCTAGCTGAAGCGATCGCTCCACCTCCTGTTTCTTGGCACTCCGATAGCGATCGTTCGCTTCTCTAATCGCATTTTGAACAACTGACGGAGGCTGTACCTGCTCGTTATCACTTTCCCCATGACTAGCAGAAGCATCTAGCATCTTGCTATCTGAACTCGATCTAATCATTGCACGAGTTTTCCTCTTCTCCTTCGACATGGCGATTTCTCTCTCCCTCGCTTCTGCGTATCTTTGATTTCCTTCTGCTATCGCAGATGCCACTACATCAGAATTCCTCGAAGACTCCACAGTGTTGCGCGAAAATGATGGTCCTTTCGTCTCTGTTTGACCTCGCAAGTCAGTCTGAGGAAACCAGCCCACCTTTCCTTGTCCTGTCAGAACTTTGTCGACCCCCATCTTATCGTCGACTTCGAGAACGGTAACTGCCTCCCCCTCCTTCACAGGAATCATCCCCCCCTGCGAGAACAAAAAGGATTTGATAGCGACCGCCTTCTGCCCCACCTTCAAGGCTGAGCTACTTGAAGGCAACGATTGTAAGTTACGACTGTCTGCCAACGACAAGCCACTCGAAGAACGGATGTTCGACTGTGCTGGGGAGCCGATGTGAATCTCTATGCCTCTATCTATGAGGGGAAAGAAAGTCGAGCGATTCTTCTGCACTGAAAGCAAATGGTTCCAAGATATCGTTCTGTTCTCCTCCAGCTCTTTTGACATGTTCAACAGGCTTTCGTATCCCAAAGACCCATCGTATTTCTGTGCTAACGTGCCGATCTTGTCGAAATACGCCTCCCCTTCTGGAGAGATGCCCTGCCAAAGCACGGATCAACTGAGCAATCGACGAACAAGACATGGTTCACAGTCTTGTTGTTTTCGATGGACGAGATATTCTCGAATGCTGCTTGCTCGTATTTCTCATGAGCTGCTTTCCATTTGAGCCACTTTTGTGATTCAGCATTCACACGGCCCTTCCGTGCTTCAATCTGACGCAGTCGTTACATCGGTATTGATGTTGAGATTATCTCTTCAACCTCCATCAAATGCAACGCTTTCTCCATTGCTGCCTCGCGTTCTGCCATGTGCTTTGATTCTTGCTTAGCTCTAAACAAAGTGTTTAGTAAGAATGGATGTCAAGGAATGTCCTTACAATTCATTCTTCTGCCGGGAAATATCACTATCATCGTCCTGCTGGACTGCTCCTGGAAAGTGCATGTGTTTAGTCATAGAATCCTGCAATCCTGCATATGCGTGAAGAGTCTATACCTTCTTGCAACTCCACAAAACGTGATGGCAGCGAGCGCATACGGGCTGAGTTCGCTCTTTGTCTTTCATGTGAACTCCCCTGCAAGGTTGATCGGGAGAACAGGGAGATCTCGTGCTTGTCATCCTATAGCAAGCAAACTTCTTGAGCCCTCTTCATTTTCATAGTGTGCAAGTACCTTGAGCATTAAGCACGCACAAATGACTAGAACTCCCAGAATTGCAGAGAGTAAAAGACGGGAAGGCCCAGGATGACGTAAGCCTACAAAATATCTTTCAGGATAAGCAATAACAGAAATTACAACGCCGGCATAATCCATATCTTCCATACAAGACCTCAAATAATCATGTTTCCACTTTTCGCTCTTTCGCAATATTGACATGATTTTTTCACCCTTATTCTCCTCCTCCTCCTCAACCACAACAACCACAACAACTATTCCATATGAATGACCTATTTTCCTCTTCATTTCTCACTCCTTTCAGATCTCATTCTCTCTTCCGCATATGTTCCATCACCTGGCGCCGCCATTTTCTATTTCCGGGTTCGCAGTATGTTGATTGTGGAGGCAGACTTCGCCGAATGTTTACTCAAATAATTAGAAATATTATAAAAGAGATCTCTACCCCCCACCCCCACCCCTACCCCTACCCATCTCTTTCGAAAGACAATCAGAGGAATGACCCCACCCCATCCCAATAGCCTATTAGCACCCACCCTGTACACCTTGATACGGTACACGAAGAGCCATGGCAAGCGAGTAGAATGAGGGAGCCTGGGGCAGGGGCGCGTAGAGGACGAGCAGCATGAGTATGAGCATCTTCATCATGGTGTATTTGCAGTATCTCCTTGCAATGGTCACATGCATTGTGACCGGCAGTGACATCAAGATGGAGGGTATGGCGCGATCATAACATGACGAAAAGGAAGACGCTCAGAGGAAGTCTTGTAGCTACTTTGATCGAGAATCAAATTAGGTTGAATAACCAGTATCGTCGCAAACATGTTGAAAGTGCAAGAGTATGCAGGGATAGATAGCACTATTACGAAGTTTTCCTTATCAGGACCCTTCCGTGATCGCTGAGATCTCAAAAATCTATCAGCATACAACTTCTTTTGATACGTGCTGTGGGTGCATATTACGATATCATGTTCTATGTGCACTCCGCGGTCTTTGGTAGTTGTTCGTGGATGTGCTGATTTTTTCTATGCAGGAAGAAACAAAGCAAACCAAGTCTGTTCCACACTTGGGATAGACGATGACGGTCGAAAAGCCTGGGTTCCTACTCCTCTGTTCTGGGATTTTTCTGGCGTTTGTATGCATCCTACATGTTTCTGAAACTATCCTGAAGTCGCAGGCTGCATCCTTGGTCTCCTTGAACCTAGATCAGTCCAGCATTATTCACAGGAACGAACTGATTCGCGTTGATGTTCCTGCGTCACAGTTGTCCTTGACCAAGATCGGTGACATTGTGAAAGGAAAGATGAAGGCAGCTACTGGGGGTGTGGTTGTTTTTACGGGCAGCGTTGCTGCTGGCACGAGGGTGTCGCCAACTAAGGGCGCGGTGACGGTAAAAGTGATCTCGGACAAATACATCGCACCAGGAACTCCTGTCAGTGGCAGGGTAGGAGACTCGATGTTCTCAGGAACAGTGGTTGGCTCTCCGAACAACGAAGAACGCTTGTCTGACATGGAAAAGCGTCTCTCAGCTCTCGAGAAGCCTGCAAAAGATCAGGTCATTGATCTTCACCACGAGGTTGAAAGCATGCAGGACAGACTACGGAGGTTGGAAGGAAGGAAATCGATCAAGGAGAGGATTGATGACCTTGAAGAAAGGATCAAAGAGTTAGAGAAACGTCCGCCGTCCCTCGATTGGAGGTTGATCAAGGACAACAGTGAAGGCTTTCATTTTCATGGTTCTATTGGACCAAATACAGTGGAGCCTTCTGTGGACAAGTTGGAAACTGGACTCTCGAAACTGGAAAAGAAACCAGGACCAGAGGAAGTGGTGCGTCCTATTGTTTCAAGATTAGACGATATTGAGCAAAGAATCGACGATATTTCGGGTGGTATCGATCCGAAGCGAACCATGGCAAACTTGGAAAGACGATTGGCAGCATTGGAGCGTCTTGCAGGCACCGCAGATGGACAGGACATTCCTCCTCCTAAATTCAATAGCTAAAGGGTTAGTAAAGACAAAACCTTACCAACGATTGTAGCTTTGTGCTTGCCAGGCTCAGGAATGCACGGTACCGTGGCGTCAAGACGGTCTGTTACTGTTTTATCAGTTAAGTTTGGGGGCAGCAGTTGGCAGGTTTAGGTTTGGTTCTCGCTGTCTTTTCTCTTCTCGCCGTGTGGCCTGTGCGACAGTGTCAGGGTCAAGCCTCCTCGACTCTCCTGCCCCGATTGTCCTCGTACTGAACTTTTTTGGCCGGCACCGGGCCACGCACTTACTGGTCAGTGACCAGCACCCGGCCCGATCGGCCTTCGGTCATTTTAGAGACAAAATAGCAGCACACCCAAACGATGCTTGCTCCCTCCTCCCATCAAGAGCTCCCTCCCTCCTCCCATCCAGAGCTCCCTCCCTCCTCCCATACAGAGCTCCCTCCCTCCTCCCATCCAGAGCTCCCTCCCTCCTCCCATCCAGAGCTCCCTCCCTCTTCCCATCCAGAGCTCCCTCCCTCCTCCCATCAAGAGCTCCCTCCCTCCTCCCATCAAGAGCTCCCATCATCGTCAACGCTGACAATTCCCGATCACTCGCTTCGGCAAAGGTTGAATCTCAACTTAAAGCAGAAATCAGGCAAGTTATCTTGCAACGCATTGAATTCTATCAGTGATCCCTTCTCAGCATGCCAAGAAAAGATGCATCTTATCACTATTCACATTGAAAGCCCGAAGGATGGGGTTAGCGAGGGGAAACGATGTTTTGTTGTGGATCGTGTCACTTTAGACACAAAAGTCAATGAGATGTAAGACTGAATTGCCGATTACCGTGCTGATCACGACTCAATCAGAAAGTCAAGAATAAGATCCCTTTATGGAGTTCCTATGTAATAATCTTGCAAGTTTGCATAGCTCGCTCAATTCGTGCATCCTTTGCAGTAGTCACCAAGCTTTGATTTTCAGCAACCAGAGGGTTCACCCTGACGAGAAGGTCCAATCGAAGCAGGCAACAGACCAAAGCTGCTTCCACAAGGTTGTAAGTGATGAAATCACGCTGAGAGAAGTGGGGATAAGACTTGGTTGGAGGACACCAAAGTGAGTTTTATCTGGTGTGGACCTATGCAAATTGACGAGGCATTCTTTCAGGCTTACAGTTCATAGCGATCCTTTGATATTGAGAACGATATATCCTCTAGAAGACTATTTGCCTGGAGGACAACAGTGAGTGGAACTGGATGCAAAGAATGCCTCATGTAGATGCTGAATTGAGTTGTTACAAGATGGTGCATTGGTGCTGCACCAAACACTCATGTAAGGGGACAAAGAATGGGATTGCTCATCAGCATTTTCACTCTCATGCTGATCCTCCTCCTCGTGAGTTATTCTTGTCTATTCTTTTGATTCTTTTACATAAGACGGCAGGTGGTGCTTGAATGGTTGACATGAACTTCTTGGGGAGACGGCTCACTCGGGGGATTTGTTTTGATGGCATTGTTTACAATGACCGTACATCTTCAAACCTATGTGAGGGTGTGTGTGCATGAGAGAATCACTTGGCAGCTTCATCTGCCGCTGAAGAGAAAAACTCCCAGCACAGAGAAGATCAAGGCGATGATGACTGGATTGTCCAAACTGTTGAAGAAACGTGTCATGCTGTATGCCCCATTGATACACCTACATAGGAGCAGGATTTTACCTTATAAAATTTGGTGTTGGTCTAGCGCGACGCAGTTCTTCTGCAATACTCTGCGTCCAAAGAACAATCATATGATTACATGGAAGAAAGAAAATTAGGAGAGTACAAGATTGACTTCTTCTGAGATCTTGAGACCTCGAACCTAAAAAGGATAGATATTCTATGTCAGAGTTTTCCAAAAGCATTCGAGCTATCCCATACTTTCCTCCTCCTTTCCAGCCACTCAGTGTAAAACCACTTTTCCAGCCTTCTCGCGTTTTTGGGCGACCTTTCTAGATCTTCAAGATAGTTGTTTAGACCACCCTATTTCATGTTAATTTTGCCAACAAACAAGTGTATCATCTCACTTTGTTCTTGTTCTTCGCTAGATCTCGACGCTCACTGGGCACAAGAACAAACCACCAGTACGACATGGTTCCCAAAGTGGACAAGACTACAGGTAGGGCGACTTCTAGTGGAGGCGGTCTCGCTTCAAACACTTGACTTCCTTGATCCAATACCATCCTTTGATTCAGACATGCCCGTCTGCTTAAGGGTGTGTGCCTCAACAAATTTCTCTGCGGATTGACCAAGGAGAACGATTCAATCGGCAAAACATGCCAGCAGATGAGCAAGGCAACACAGCCCGTTTTCCTTTATCAAACAGTCAGAACCCTAGACAAACTTCATAACGAAACATAGTTGGTCGTCAAACGACTCGATGTACTCTGCCCACATGTACTCCTACATGTTAGACTACGTCACGAGCATACTTTTTCTACTCATATGCAGACTCTTCACCTCCTCATTCCTCCCTATGGGCACTGGTTTTTCATCATGCAGCAGCAGCAGCAGTGGACTCACATTTCCTTGATTTGCGACAGTCTTTTTTACTCAAAGTTAAGTAAACAATCAATATGAAGACGTCGGAGGCTGGCTGAGTGACCGACCGTACCGTGCCGTACCGTCACGGCGGGTACTGCCGGCCCCGGCGGGGCCCCGGCGGCCGGGCCGCGCCGCCGCCGCGCCGGGCCGCGCCAGTGGGCCCGGTCCGGCGGGCCGATCATCGGACCATACCCGGTCACCGGGCCCGGTAGATCGGACGGTACGGGCAGTACTTGAAACCGGCGAGTCCGACGACGGCGCGTGCCGCAGCCGGGCCCTGCCCCGCGAGCTTGTCAAAGAGGAAGTAGGACAGGTGCTTGAAGGAGTTTTTGAATGATAGCGCTGATGTGATGAGGATTCCTCCGCCTCGATTCTTCTCGCCGCTCAGTCACTATCTGTGGCGCCCCGGCGGCCAGGCGGGGGAATGGGCCTGCGCGCAACAGCCTGGAAGTGGCAGCCGGATAAGATTTCAACTTCCCTTACTGTCTTTTCCCTGGCACTGGCCCGGCGGGCCCCGGCGGGCCACTGATGCTGATCGGACTCAGCCTGTGAGTCAGTGAGTCTCAGACGGCAAATGAGTCCGGGGGGCGTACCGCCGTAGTACCATTGAATCGGAACAGGCCCTGAGCCGGGCCCGCCGCGCGCCAACCAACTGGGCCCGCCGTGACCCAGTGGCTCGGCGAGTCGGAACCCGGCCGGTTGCGGAATTGAACTTGATTTTGACACTGTCCGATCGGCGGGTGACAGGCTGCGGGAGTTTATTTTAACAACTAGACTCGTGTGAACATGGCGAAAAAAATCAAAAAGAATAAGGGGTGACGCGCTAAGCATTAGATATCTACAATTCAAATGTCAATTTCTTTGCAAACTCGCTTCCTCGCAATCTCTCCGTGATTGCCTCATCCATTCTGTTGTTCTGTGAATCACTGAACCAATCCTTCCACTCCCCGACGTCCCCCTTGCGCAAAAGGAAGCCGGCCTTTGTCCCTTTCATGCTTTCAAAAGATGTATGCTCCATTATTTTTTTCATCTTGCGTTCTGATACTTGAATGTCCAGGAAGTGAGCCAACCTTGTCACCTCCGATTGTTGATCCCGCTTCACGTCTTCGAAATACATGACGTGGCTCTTTTCTCTGGGAATCTCTTTGGTCAGCCATTCCTCCATTTCCTTGAAATAAGTGAAATAGCTTCCTCCTGGATGAGGACACTGCGGGTCAATAAAACGCTCAAAGCTTCCATCCCAACCGTCCGGGGGCAGGCCACCCATGTTGGCATAACTTACTGCTGCATCCTTTGGATTGCGCATGATGTATATCACTTTGCAACCTGAGCTCTTGACTGCATGAGGGAGCATCCAGGGAGGACTGTGCGAAGCAAAGATTCTTCTTCCTTTTCGCGCGAGGAAATCTCGGAAGGATTCGTGTCCTACAACAGCAAAGGTGAGAAAGAATTTTGTAATTAGCCAGCAAAGAACCAAATAGAGGGTGTGGTTCTGCTTCAGGTTCCAAGGGAAGCCACTCAGGATAGACTTGCATCTCAGTATTATGTGTGGCGGTTATAGTCCCATCCTCTGTCATGTGTACGAGACAGTTTACTATCCTCCAGAGCCAGGTAGTTCCACACCTGTGCCGATATGAGCATCACATATGTACATATCAAGGTGTCCCTCACTTCGGAAACGAGCAAGCGAGTATATCAGTATCGAACATTTCTATTCTTGGAAAGCTTCAGCAGAGTCTTGCCTGACCAAAACTGAATCAGAAAACAAACTCGTCAAGAGCAAACAGAAAACCTGAAAAACTCGGGCTGTGGGAGACCCTTGTAATATTTCCTCTTGCATGGGTTCCCAAACTTTGGCATTCTTCTCAAAAAAGTGCCAAAATTATTCCTGCAAGCACAAATGAGAGGAAGATGTGCAAAATATTCAGAATTCAGAAGCGAAATAACTGGTACAAATGATGATGAGCTCGTTTTGGTCACAGCATGGTCGTGGTCAAAAGGAATGGTAGGGAAAAATTGCGTCAGCACACCGCCAAAGCAGGAAGCTGGATAACAGTGAATAGATGCAGGAAGGAAGGGGTAGAGAAATGAAGGAATGCTGGATTGAAACTGAGCGGAAGGTAAAGAGGGCAGGAGTGAAGGAAAAGGAAGAGTAAAAAAAGGATGATGTGCAGACAGAATAAAAGACAGCATGGGTGAAGAAGCTCAGCAGCCCGAATGAACTAAGGGAACAGGAGGGCTGGTGGTCTGAAGAGGGTAGATTAGAAGAAATGCTTCATCTCAGCAGGAAGATGTCAGGGTTGCATGCATCTACATGCATGTGAAACGATCTATACTCGCTCTCAATAGCTCAAGGGAATCACAGGATGGAATTAGAGTCGTGTTCCGTCAGAAGATGTAAGAGCTTGTGATGATCTTAAGGAGGAAGAGGCTTGAAAGGAACCAGGAGGCAGAAAACAGGAAAGCAGAGGTAGATCGAGGAGAAAGCGATGGGAAAGAAAGTTGCAGGCGGAGAGCAGGACAGCTGAGGTAGGAGAGCTAGCTCTGGAGCATCCATGTAAGTGACCTAGGGGTCAAGCGAGCAAGGAACGACGTGGGGGAGAAACAGCAGGATTGCGAGGGTGAAGGTAGGAGGGGTCATACAAGCCTAACGAACTCATAGGGGTAGGTAGATCAGGCCGTGACCGACAGAATTAAAACCTCCACTTATTGAATTCACTACCCCCATAGTGGGCAAATAAAGAAACTTGTTTCAGGAGCATAGGGTGGGGTGGTGCATCAGAACAGTAAAGGCAACCATCATTGCAGTGCCCATCTGTGATCACGTGACCAGTCACGGCGCACTTGATAAAAAAAAGACCCACCAGTCTGGTAATTGTAACTTTCAGTTTGAGTAAAAGAGTATGGATATCTTTACTCAAAGTTAAAGATCAGTACCCAGATAGAGAGATAAGAATACAGATTGATTATAGCGCCCATACCCGATCCACCGCAATGAGCCTGGGCATAATTATGGGTGCCTGTTTGAATCCAAAGCGGCGATAGGTTTAGGTTTAGGGTCACCCGGTTGTACTCCCAGCCTAGTACGAGGACAATCACAGGAGAGTACTCGAACGCCTCTTTTTTTATTAGACTAGGATGTCTATGCGAGAGCCGATAAGCGGCTGGTTGGGGACCCCTCAGTTTACTACCGACCGTCATCGCACTGACCGGGCCCGATGTTCCGGGCCCGGCCCTTCAAGTCCCGACTGGCACTGCACCGGGCCCAAACCTGCCGCTGTATCGGAGATCATGCCAATCATTGAACTCGGAACTTACGGAATACACGCCGCGGGGCGAGCGCTCAGTAGGCTGGAGGCCAGTGTGACATATTCACCTAACGCGGACGGGCCAGACTGAGTCCTGGACATCAAGTTTCCGGCGACCGTCACGGCGTCGGACCGTACTCGGTCACGGGCCTCGCTGTATGTCCGATCAGTGGCAAGAAGCTCGGATAAATTGAACTTAAAAAGGGTTTCAAGTTTAGGGTCAGGCTCCTCGCTGTACTACCGCCGGCCCACGGTCCGATCGGACAAGAAGCTCCGACTCGTCCGATCGGAGTGTCAGGTCTAAACATTTTTGAAACCCTAAACCCTAAACTTGAAAGGGCCTAAACCAGGCTCGGAACTAAGGACTACGGAAACAAAAGCATAGCGTTGCCTTTCTCAATTGACCTTGGAGCTCTAAAACGTTTCGCGGTGAGGGTGGAAGATTCAAATCCACGCATACCACGAGAAATTGTACTCAAGAAGACCCTACCCCTGAAAAAGTCCTGCTTGGCTCTTCGTGATTTGAATTCAGACCACGGTCGAAAGACCCACCCCGCCCCCACATGAGGGTTTAGGGTTTAGGGTTTAGGGTTTAGGGTTTTAGGGTTTAGGGTTTAGGGTTTAGGGTTTAGGGTTTAGGGTTCAAGGTAAGGAGAGAAGGTAGGAGGCGACCGAAAGCCAAGGTGAGGAGAGGCAACTCTCCTGACTGAGGCTGAGGAAGCCAAGAGAACACAGCAGAAGTAGAGAGTAGAAAGACGCCTCAGAAGCAGGGTTCGCATTGTAGGCCGTGTACTCCCAGTGCTCGAGCGCCTCTTTAGACTAGGATCAAATTGCATAAGCCCACAACGAGGCCAAGCAACATTCTAGCATTCTAATAAACTCACATAATAATAATAATAATAATAATAATAATAGGGTTTAGGGTTTAGGGTTTAGGGTTTAGGGTTTAGGGTTTAGGGTTTAGGGTTTAGGGTTTAGGGTTTAGGGTTTAGGGTTTAGGCGCCGTTATTTCCGGCAGCATGGCTCCTTGCCAGGTGTAGGGGAAGCCGCCAGGGCGCCAAGGAAGCTGCAAGCGAGAGGTTTGTTTACTTCAAATAGCTTTCTAAGTATGGTTCTTCAGTATGATGAAAATGTTCGCAACCTGCTGTATCGGAGATCATGCCAATACACGCAGAGCGGACTTGTGGATGCCTCTGTCCTCGAAGCTGATCTCGTCGAGAGGGTGAAGAGCTTCGCGAAGCGTTATCCGCACAGCAGGACAGCCCAGGCTTGCAAGGCTGTGGAGGGATGCACCCCCGACGCTATCGCAGAAGCCATCCGCTCGACATGTCAGCAGGCACGACGTGAGCTTCTGCAAGAAGCGATGGCTGGATGGAGTGACGCATCCAGAGAGTGGTTTATGCAGCAGATTGAAGAAGCCAAGAAGGAGAAGGTCGAGACATACACCGCCTCAGCAGGCAACGAGGTGACTTCCTTCATCTCCATGACTCTCCTGGGCATCTCCTCGGTGTATGTCAACCATGAAGAAAAGCTGAAGAAGAAATTTGAAGAGATCGGACTGATCGTAGACTCAGTGCAAGAGAGTAAAGCAATCATGTGGAAGGCTCCGTATAGACCCGAGATAGCGAGTGCTGAGGAGATCCCGGTGACTGTTTCCTTCCTCCGCAATGCACAAGCGGAGAAGCTCTGGCAGGGAAGAGAGGACTTCGCGATCGATGGTCGCAAGTTCACAGCTGTACATGTGAGCATCGTGCACGATCGATCTTTCAAGATTCGAGCCAAGAGAGGACCCTGGGGCAAAGGGGGCAGCTTGGCAGAGCTGACCCACCTGTTAACCTTGGGCGGCATGACAACGGCTGAGATAGCTGCCGTCTATCGCTATCAGCTGCTGCGCCAGTCCCTTGCAGCGGTCCAACTCCAGCCGCTGGCAGGCATGCTGGTCGCTGGGGCGCCAGGACAGCAAGTCCACAAAGGCTTAGGTCAGAAAGGCTTCGTCGCTGTAGGGGCCAACGTCATCTGGAGACAGAGGGAGGTGGAGTGGATCGTCTCCTCGAGCTGCCCAGAGGCGAATGATACAGCAG